ATAACTAATAAAATACAAATATCGAAATAATAAAATAATACTAAAATAAAATAATAAACTAATAAAATAAAACTGTTTTATAACAATAGACAATGTCCAAATGTCCAAGCACACTATTGGCGGTAATAATTCTGATTGGCTATACTATTGCATTAATGTGGATACAAGTTTTGTACAAGATAAAAACCTGTAACAGTAAAACCTTATTCTGATTGTTTTTCAAAATTGTAATAGTCTTATATTAAAACTTTATCGTTACATATTGTAATGGTTGGTTTGGGAGAGTGACGCACAATGAATACGCAGTGTAACTCCAACTGCTACTAGAAATTATGTGGATTGAATAATAAAAGGTTTCTATAATGTATAGTAATTCTAGTAATTCTATTAGGACGACTTAATGTATATGTTACTTTATTATGAGAATGAGGTTTTTTTTTTTAGAATAAATGCTTCACTTTTATCTATTTTGATTAAGATGAAAGAGAACACATTCTGAAATTTACTTTATGACATCAAAGGCACCACTCTATCATGTAATCCTCATGTCAATATGCACATTGCCTCCTTTGAGGGCTTTAACAATCACAATAATAATTTAATTAGATAATCAGTTATATCAAAAAGGATAAGATTATAAAATTAATTTGTTACAGTATTAGTATATATCAAACTTCAGTAATTCGAATTTTAAAAGAAATACAACATTTTCATAAGTTATTTCATTCTAAAAAGTAGTAATGGTAATAGGATTGTTAGTGTCGTTTCTAATAGAGTGGTGGAATACTTGATTTTAAACTTTTTTTTTATCTAAATAAAAAAAAATTTTAATCATTCTTTTTTTATCTTTATTTATCAAGGTTTTGCAGGATTAATATGAACACCAAGTTTAAAAAAGAAATCAATGGTTGAAGTCGTTGATTCTTTTTTTTTTTTTAGACATATACTAATAAGACTTTGATGACTCCTTTAATTTTAGTAGTTAATACTTTTTTTTTTGATAAAATCATCCAATGCTCTTTTTTCTTTTTTTTTGACCCAATACCGATATAGCTTTTTGATAATCAATTTTTTTTTTCTTTTTGATAGTTATTTTTTCAGTATTTAAGTCATTTGACATGTAATTTTATTCTGTTAATTTCGAGTAACTTGCATAATCCAATAAATTTTTTCTTTTATAATTAAATCCAAGTAGTAATGCCACCTTTACCACAGATTCTTGACAAATTTATCATTAAAACTAATGAAAAGATAAACAAACATAATATAAAAATATATTGTAAACCATGCATAAATCAATTAGACTAAACGAAAGGTTTAAAACGTTGTTTTTCTAATAAAACAAACAGAATAATTTCGCATTTCAAAAAATGTACATATTTTATTGCGGAAACAACTGCTGAAGAAAGAGAAAAAATTTTTAAACTAATTAATATTCCTAAAGGTCTATATTTAATTCTGTCGCTTCGCTTCGTACAATAAATAGAAATATATATTGTATATATTTATTTATTTTTTTACAAAATTTACTTTTACAGAAACCAATAAAACTATATCGATATCCTTTAATTCATGTTCTTCCTCAAATTCATATTCTTTGGCTTCAAAAATCACACGATCATCATCATCTTTTAGACCAATGGACAGTTATATTGTATAACCTTTGTCATTAGAAGATACAGGAAGATTTCACCAACTCCTTTTACATCTTATGGTTTCTTGTAGATGGGCGTTGCATTGGGTAAATAAACCCGAAGCAACCGAGTTATTTGAATTTCTTAATCTACTTATCAAACTTTCTGATCGATATTTACTTGGAGGACGAATTTTGAATGATGCAATTAGTGAATCTGATAAAGCTATGCTAGCTATGTTAAAGGAAGATCAAGTTGGTATAACATTAACCTTTGATGGTTGAACTAACGTTCGAAATGAACACTTGTTAGGAGTAGTAATAATCACATCAGAAGATCGACCTTTTGTATAGAAAGCACAAAATATAAGTTTAGAACTCGAAACCCATATAAAAATGATTGAAAAAATCAATGAAATGCTTACTGAATTAAAGGCACAAATGATAAAAGTTATTTCTATTATAACTGATAGTGCAGGAGCATACGTGGCTGCTAGGTATATTGTTTTTTATTTTAAATAAAAAAAAAAAAGAATAATTTAGATGATTTTAACGCTCACCAGGGGTGAAATTCACTGGGCTTTGATAATCGGTATTTAGTATACCAAGTAAAAATGTTCAGCACCATAAAAAACCCTCACTTCTACTTTAATTCAAGCCTTAAATCCTAACCCTAAAGTTTAATTTTAGCTTTAAAATTTGTGGCAAAATTTTCTATAGATCATATAATAATAATAATGATTTTTTTTAATAGACATCGCTTGAGAATTGTAAATAGGTCAATTGTGTTTTTACCTTGTTATGTACATCAAATAAATTTGTGTATTGGCGAAATTTTTAAGGAATCAACCGATTTTAAAAAAACAATCGATCAGGCAATTCGTCTTGCAACATATTTTAAAAACCCAATGAATAAATTTTTTATAGTGATATTAAAAGAAATACAATATACTGAATATAAAAAGTGTTTTGCACTTAATGTTCTTGGAGAAACCCGATGAAACAGTTTTTATATTGTTTGTTCAAGTATTTTAAGAACACAAAAGGCTCTGCAGATAAATTAGTATATTTTTATTATCACGTTTTTGATATTTTACAAGCTTGACTATAAGGGGTAATTAACTTATTTTGAAAATAAGTGAAAGTCTACTTCTATTTTTAAAATTACATATTTAATGTAAATGCGTCACTCATTTTGTCTGAAATCGGATGCCAATCATTAATTCTAAAACCTCTATAATGCTTTGTTTATATAAAATTAGAATTAAAAACTATCTTGCATTAACAATAATTAAAGTTTAAATAGACCCAAAGTGTTTAAATTGAGCTTTTATCGACGATACCAGAGTGGCCTCACAAAGTTTGGGAGTACTACTAACACAGTATTTAACACTTGTAATACTCATTAACAAAATGACTTTTTAAGACTTATAGATTATAATCCCAAAGTGTCATTTTGTTAGAAAAATATCATTTATCAAATTTTCACTTCAGCTTGAAGTATTACGAGATGCTGCGGCATTAGCACACCCGAACTTCAGAAGGCCGTCCTGGTGTCATCGCCAAGATCAAACTTAATTAATAAAATATTAATATTTTATTACTTTACTATATATATAGATACTTGCGATTAAGTTTGAACCAACTTCAAATACTAAAACAGAACCAAAAAAATTAAGGCGTGAAATATATGATATAATTAGTTCTGCTGATTTTTGGACCAATATTCGTCATTTGCTTAATCTTCTCCAACCATATTGTATTATCTTGAATAAGTTACAATCTGATAAAGCTCACTTGCATCAGGTTATTTTAAGTTTAAGTTATCTTGTTCAGTTTTGAGATAATTATAATGATGACTTGCAACTTAGTATTTGACTTACATTATATTTGGAACGTTCATGAAAAGATTGGGAACAACCTTTATTAATTTTATCTTGTCTTTTACATCCTGATTATCACTTAGAGCAATTTAACATTAATATTAATTATGCTAATTTGGGCCTTTGGCTAGCTCATTATTATGAAGCATGGTTTGGAAAAGAACCAACACAAATTTTAAAAAAATTTGTCCTTTTGATCAAAAAACATGGAGTCAATTTAATGATATTTGTGAGTATTGGAGCTTTGCGAGCTTATCAACAGAAGAATTAGGTTTAGTTGCAAGCCAAATTTTTGAGATATGTGTAAATGCAGCTGCTGTAGAGCATCTTTGGAGCTGCATGGAATTTCTTCAAACAGGTCAGCATAACAGATTAATGATATGTCTAATTATATATAACAATTATTATTTTAAAGTATCCAGGGTACTGCTGCCCTAATTACAATTAGTAGTGGTCTTCTGATTTTAACAACTGCCCTACTTTGTTTAATATGTCGAGATATATCGAGTGTAATATAGATTCGCTTATTCTTGCGTTGCGAATACAAAGGTAAAAATTTTAATTATATTGTATAATTGAAAATTTATTTTGTGTTCGTAATTCAGGAATAAGTGAACCTATATTATACTCAATACACTCTTGATGCTTACTAAAAAGTAGGGTGCCCGAAAAATACTACTGCTGCTACAATTATCGTTAAATCAGCAGATTCTATGATATTAAAAACAAAATTATAAAAAAAAAAAAAATTCTAATTTATCACAATATATAGACTATATTCGCCAATAGTTTATTATTCTGCTTACAGAATTCTGTGCAGATTCTGTTCACAGTACTTCAGATATTCTAAATTCATTAATATACATATGTTTTGAAATTAAGATCTTACTAAATTAATTTTAGTCTGCCAAAGCCTTACAAATAAGCAAGTTATATGCAGATATTATATATAATCATCGGCTTCGATCAGGTTTTACACATACCGATACCGATACATATATCTTCAATACAAATATAGAAATAGATTCTGTAGAACAAACGAATGCTAATATAGAACCGGTTAATTCAGATAATTCAGATAGTATAAATAATTCAAGTTCTAATGAAAAAATAGTTGAATCTTCAGAAAATAGAGAAGTTTTAAAAAATAGGAAAGTTTTAGAAAATAGAGAAGTTTTAGAAAATATAGAAATAGTTGAATCTTCAGATGAATCAAAAAACGAAGATATAAGTGTCGAGGAAGGGTTTGATAATTATTTACAAGAATGGGTAGAGATGTTAAAAGAAGAAAAACGACAATTTGAAGATAAAGATATAAAAAAGGAGATGATAATGATGAGATTTCTCTAGATAATACTGTTCATCCTGTGATTAATCACAACATGAAATGGGAATTGGCCACCCTTTTCAAAAAACTAGATTTAGAAGATATTTTTTAAAATTTATAGCAAAACCTTTCTTTAATACAGTCAACCTTCTCTAAATGCATAACCAAAAAAACCTATATAAAAAAATTGATCAACTTGTATTTAGAGATATTATGTTTAGGAAATGAAAATCTATAGGTATTATATAAGTTAGGACTAGTGCATTTTTTTGGAAAATTCATGTGGTTATTTAATTTAAATCTATTAAATGCAAATACTATTTGCTTCGCATATTTTATATTTTTGTATATGTACGATTGACATTCTCTTACTGTTTAGCGAATTAATAAATTTGATGTATGCCAAGTATTTTGCTACAATCGTGACAATCTCAAAGCAAAAAAAAAATTTTTTGCCTTTAGTTAAATTATTCAGTTCGGGTGTGCTTGAATCAGCTGTTCTTATAAATTTTAGAAAATCTGGTAAAAAATTGATTTAATATATGTAAGAATAATAATAATTTAGGTATAAAAATTGATGAATTTATATAAGTGATATTTAGACAATTGTGCAACATATCTGACAAATCATCAACATTATAATATATATCTTTTTCGTATCTGTATATCAAATATCACCTGTATGTAAATAAGGGTCAATTTCATTTTATTTTCTTGACATTCAAAATCATTCTTACTATTATTGCTTTACTAATATATGTTATTTATTTATGATTTCATATTTAAAATATACAGTATAGGATATTCGTTAATTTAGGTGAGTGTAAAAAATTTAAGATTCAGAATACATTATTGAAGTAAAATAAGCTATTCAGATTTATAAATAATTTTATTTATTTTTATTTGCATTAGTTTTGTGTAGTGTTTTTAAATTTGCAGCATGGCAACAATTAGAATGGCAGCGAAGCAAGTTTCTTTGAATATCGTAATATTTTCTGAAATGGAAACACAAAACTTTGTTCATCTACAAACCAAATA